TGTGGGGAGAGCTGCCAAGAGGCCTGAGGATAGTAGTGCAGGCTAGGAGAGTTAGCTGGTGGTGCAGGCCCAGGGAAGCAGAGAGAGGTGAGGGCGGGGCCAGGACCAGAAGTGGTGCTCCTGGAGCCCAAGAAAGGGACTGAGTTGCTCTGGGTAAGAAGGGTCAGGAAGCAGTATTGGTTCCCCAGGTGTCTGGGGCCCCGAGACTAGGAATTGCGCAGGGCTCAAACTAGGAGTATAGAACAGCAAGGGGGTGGCGGTGATGGAGGGGTGAATGTGGCTTAGGGAGTCCCCCTAATAGAGATATTTTATTCCCATGACAGAAATCACCGGAACTAAACTTCCTCTTTAAATACATTAAAGAATTGAGTGATGCTGACCCGTTGTCTAAAACTGCTACATTTTTAGATCTGAACCATTGAAAAAAAACTTTGAATTAGTGCCCAACTATATGTCAGCACTCAAGCACCCTAGATTTCATTCCTTTTTTCTGCCTTTTCCACTGTTCTGAAACACGTACTGTCCTGTTTGATGATTACATTATACTTCATCATATATGCTATGGTAGTTTTATATTCTGTGAACGCAAAGATATTCCACAGAATTTGAGCAACAGGCTATATTAATTAATGTGAATGGTTCCTTTGCCTGAACTCCTGGGAAATCTACAAGATACGGAAACCCATTTCTTATTGGCACCAGCAATAGCCAACATGAATTAGATTTTATGTCTATTCTATGAAATAATCAATATTTACCTGCGCAACATTTAATAAGACACTCAACTAAGCAAAGAATGTATTTACTGTATCTGGGATAAATATTGCATTTATGACTTGACTGGGACTTACAGTCAAGTAAGTTACACTGATGTGTCCCTCCACCTCCATGTGGTGTGATAGTTCAGCTTGGCTCTGGGGTCACACGGGAGGGGAAATGGAAAGCATCAAAGGAGATAATCCAAAAGACAGACAATAGAACTACAATACAATATAATTGTAATATATACCCCATGACTCACAGATATGATCTAATTTTCTTAAAGCTCAGAGGATTTTATTTTAAAATTTCATTCTACACAAAATTTGTAGGTAAGTGCCATTCATGGTAAGAGCAGAATTGCTGCTCTGCCTTTAGATAAATTTTAAGTTACTATTTCAGTTTCAAAGAATTCAATATGCTGTCCATTAAAATGTTGCTTTTTAGAAGAACATTTGTATAAATTCTCTGAGAATTTCATACAATGTATTTTTATCACATTCACCTCTCTCCCCCAACTACTCCAAGATTCACCTCCCCTTCCCTACCCACCTAACTTTGTGTCTTTGTGAAAAAAATTGAGTTTAATTTGTGAAGCCTATATACTCTTGAATGTGGGGCATACTAAGCTTTCTGATAACTACTTTAATTTGGCAGAATTAGTAATATTACTTTATGTAAGATAAACAGGACAGTTTCTTTCTTTGTCCAATGTGGAGCATACGTGCTAAGGGAGAAGCGATGCAGCGTGTGCTCAGATGGCTGATATATATATATATATCAACTTAGTGAATTTGAATTACCCTAAAAAGTAAGTCCTTAATGGCTTTTCTAAAATGTCCTCTCCATAATTAGACCCAGAAAAAAAAACATAAAGAAGTAACCATGCTCTTTTTCCATTAAACCCACAGTATAAAAGCTTCTGTCTATCGATATTTATCCATTGGTTTGAACGACTTATGTGTTTATAGCTTTATTTTGGATACTTTGATGGTTAATTTCTTTACATTAAATTTTTATTTTGTGTTCATGTGTGTGGGAGGGAGGGGGAATTGGCATTTGTCCTGTCATGGTGCACATGTGGAGATCAGAGAACAACATTTATGAGTTGTGTGTTCCTTCCACCATGTGGATTCTGGGGATTAAACTTGGGTGTCAGGCACTGAACCACCCTACTGATGTTTAAAATTTTTTTGATCACATTTAAAAAATTGATTTTGTGTGCATGCATGTATGTATGGCAGTTGTTAAACTTGTCAACTTGACAGGATTTAGAATCACTGAGGAGACAAACGTCTGGGCATATCTGTGAAGGTGTTTCAAAAGATGACTAAACTAAGGAGAGAAGACTCTTCCCGGATGTGGGCCTCACCATGCCAAGAGCTGGGGCCCTGGACTGAACATAAAGGAGAATGTGATTAGAGCACCAGCATCCCTCTCTCTCTGCTTCCTGACTGTGGACACAGCTGTCTTATACTCCGCCATCGTGCCTTCCTACCATGATGGTCTCCACCCTCAAACTTTGAGCCAAAATAAACTCTTCCTTTCTTAAGTTACTTTTATTGGGTATTTTGTCACAGCATAAGAAAAGTACTTAATAAGATAAAATCCCTAGCTGGGTGTGGTGGCTCACACCTTTAATTCCAGAACTTGGGAGGTGGAGGTAGGCAGGTCTTTGAGTTTGATGCCAGCCTGGTCTACATAGTTTAAAGCCTGTCTGTGGTGGTTTGAATGAGAATGCCCCCCATAGGCTCCAAGTATTTGGACATTTTGTCCCCAGCTAGTGGTGCTGTTTTGGGAGATCTTATGCTGGAGGAAGCAGGTCACTGGGGGTAGGGTTAGAGAGTTCCTAAGCCTTGCCAGATCTCCAGCCACTCTCTTGCTTTCCTGCGCCTGCTTGAAGATGTGAGAGCTTAGCTTCTGCTACTCCAGCCACTTCTACTGAAGATCCTTCCGCCATGATGGGCTCTTGCCCCTTTGGAACCATAAGCTCAAATAAACTCTTCTTTTTATAAGTTGCTTTGGTCAGTGTTTCTATCACAACAACAGAAATGTAACTAGTACAGTAATTGGTACTGAGAATGAGGTGTTGGCTGTGAAGAACCTGACCATATAGGGTTTTGGAGGAATGTGGAAGACTTTGGAAGTTTGGGCTAGAAAAGTGGTTGATTGCTATAAGCAGAGCTTAACAGGCCATTCTAGTAGGTACCTGGAAGACTACCTAAAAATAGAAAAAAATTATACTCACAATTTTCCATCTTAAAATGTCAGAAAAGCTAGATATTGCTGAGTAGTTTTCTAGTAGAATGGGGGCTGTGTCATTTCATAGAGCTTAGAAATATTTGGAAGTAATTAATTGGTTGTCAAAATGATTTGAGGTGGGAGTATTACTGAAATTTTGAGCCTCGTTGGCTAGGAATGCTAAAGCCATCAAACACAAGGGCTGCTTGGTCAAGAATCTGACCCAAGTGCAATATTGCAAACACAAAAATGTTATCTATTACAACTTTTGTATAACTCATTAAATACTGCTTTGAGATAATAAATAACAAAAACTACTAAGTTAAGATTAGTATTACCCTGAAAATCTTATTATCCAAATATTTTATTGAGTCAAGAATGTTTCTTAAGATTCCCAACCTATATTTAGTAGAACTCTTAAAAACAAATAGTCTATCATGGATCAGAAAAAGTAGCGTCTGACTGCCACGTGTCTCTTCGTGGGAAGACTTTGCTGTCCAGTGTCTACCACGGTAACCGTAATGAGGACAGAGGGCCTGTGTTTCTCTGTGCAGTCCAGGCATTCCTGGGGCCTCCTTTCAGAAAACCACAGCTTTCCAACTTCATAAATTCTTGATATAGCGTACCCACATTTAAACTAAATATTGATTCTCATCAGGCGCTAACTACCCCCAGAAACACAGTTGCTTCAAACACTTGTCTTACGTTTCCATTATAGTAAAATCCTCACTAATTCACTTCAAAAATATTTATTTTAAAAATTCTGTCTCAAAAAAATCTCCTAATTTTGACAATAATATTTGCTTTAGTGAATAGAAAAAAAGTAAAAGCAGCTTTTTAAAATCTCACTGCTTAATTTATATTTATCTGTGAATATGGACAACTTACAAAGTCTTGACAGGGATTTGAGGCATTACTTGGGGTTCCTATGTAGTTCTTCTCTTCATCCTTGTATGAAATCTCATGAAGTCCTGTTACACTCTGCAGAGCAAAGGGCATGGCATCCTGAAACACAGTCATAGTGTTACAAAAAGGGGCAGCTTCTGAAGTTAGCACACTTAAGTATATCCCAAATGTGAACATCATACTCCATCTCCCCTAGAGATTAAAAACACCAAAACTGCAGAATGTTCTGAGTCCTCTACATAATCAGGTTACTTGTAGCAGCCTATTTCCTTCTTTTCCTTCATGTCACTTCTGACAGCATTCTGGTTCTCTGACTAGGAAGAGTCCATCTTAAATTCCCTCATTAGCTATCCTTTAGTTCTTACAGATTCTTTATTTTGAAAATCACTCTGCTTTGATGTAATAAGTTCGTTATCCTTGGTGAACTAATGCTGTCTTCAAGAAAAGATTCTCACTTTTTTTTGACTCAGTGAAAATACAACTTCACAGTAGATGCTCCTAAGAGGCATCCACTCCTTGAACATGAAGGACTGGGCTCCCACTGCCTTCAGCTCCTACAACTGTGTTTGGGGTTCTTTTCACCAAAAGGCAGCACTTTAGGAAGAGATTAGTGAACCTGATTATAAAATCAGACTCTGCATCAGACAATAAATAAGAATATAATGGTGCTTATCCTTGTAGGACATGGAACTTTGTCTTCAAATCAGTGTGCTTGCCACTTTAATGCCCTGCTGGCATGATATTTTTATCTCAGTGTGTAAGCACTTCCTTCCAAAAACAGATATGCAAGAGAATATTATGGAAAAGCAAATAGGAAGGGGATTTATTAACTGATTTACAGGTAAGAACCAACTTTCTATCCTTTGAGCCATAACCAGTGTTAAGATGTTATTAAGGCACTGGGCATGGTGGCACACATCTTTAATCCCAGCCTTCGGGAGGCAGAGGCAGGTGGATTTTTGTGAGATTGAGGCCAGCCTGGACTACATAGTGAGGTCCAGGTGGAATGGGAGTAGGGAAACCCTGTCAAAAAGTATTTTATTAAGGACACTGTGTCCTCTATGATCCATTAAAAGAAGCTCCTGTCTGGACTTTCCAGTGTGAATAATTATATCCACCTAGTTTCTTGAAATCAGTGATTCTCAAGACAGTAAAGACAACCTCCCAAGGAACTAGAAATTTGTGGAGGTGTTTTTGTCTCCTGCTTTAGCTGTGTGAGAGTGTTTGCTAATTGTATTTCATACTATTTTATAGTTCCAATTTATTTTTCTTTGTACTAAATTTTATCTGTTTTTAGGTACTACAAAGAACTATAGTAGTAAACTCAGACAAACACAGTTTCTGCCTCACATACAATTTTATGTTCATGAACTCATCTTTATTATAAAGAAGACAGGGTGGTGGTCCATGTGATATGCACCTGAGCAAAGGTCTAAAAATATGGTGATTTGGATTGAGGCAGGCTGGGGCAGGGAAGGGAGCAAAAAGCAAGTCTTTATATGGTATGCCTTATCAGTAGTTTGCAGCCTCCCAAATTTGATGCAGTAAATGCCATCATGGAAATGAACAGTCACATTTCCTGATAATACCCATGAAAATCAATGCGCTCTTGCAGAAACACTGAAAATATTTGTTTCTCACCTACCTGTATGTGTTGAAGACAGGATGAAATGTTCTTCACACAGTGCCTCACAGTCTTTTCTAAAGATCTAAATAGCTTTTCTTCTTTGTTAAAGGTACTGTCTTTCACCTAAAGCACATGTGAAAGTATTTAGTTTCATAACTCAAATGAATATAGTATTTAAAATGGTACAAAACTAATAAAAATGATACAGAACATATTGTCTCAGTAATTACAAAATAATCCCTTGCTACATGAAAACATTCTGTGAAATACTGACTTTTATAAGTACTTTCTGGATCTGCACACAGCACAACTAATGTTCAGTTAGTGTTATTTAGTCATGTCATGCAATTTAATATACTGTTGTTTATTTCACAGAACTTTGCCCATGTCACCATAGCCATAGCATTAAAAATCCTTTCTCTACAGCTTTTTTGGTGCATGTACGCATCTGTGTGTTTGTGTGTGTGTGTGTGTGTGTGTGTGTGACATTCACATGCATTCAGAGGAGGGGTGGGGTGTCCTGCTCTATTACTCTTTGCTTTGTTCCTTTGAGACAGGATCTCTCACTGAACCATGACTAGGCTGGCAGCCAACAAGCTCCAGCTAGCCTCCTGTCTCTATTGCTCACAGCTATGGGGTTACAGGCACAAGTGGTTATAATCTGCTTTCTACATGGGTGCTGGTTGTTAGCAGCCATGTGGGTGCTGGGATTTTAACCTGGGTCTTCTGCAAGAATAGCCTCTCCAGCCCTACCCGCCAGGATTTTAAATGATTTGTTTTATTTTTTAAAATTGTGTGTGTGTGTGCGTGTGTGTGTGTGTGTGTGCATGCGTGCGTGTGTGTATCTGTGTGGGTATGCAGACCTCAGTTTAGGTGCCTGTGGAGGTCAGAGGTGTCAGATCCCCTTGGAGCTACAGTTATAGGCAGTTTTAAGGCACCCAATGTGGGTCCTAGGAATCAAACTCAGGTCCTCTGGAAGAGCAGTATGTGCTCTTAACCACTGAGCCATATCTCGAGCTTCCCCTCACTCACTGCTGTAGTTTTTAATAGCATATATTGTGTACTCAAATTATACTTTGTATTGTTTTGCTCATAGAACTCACACTACTTTATGTCACAGGGCATATTTAGAAAATATTCTTAGGCCTAGCATTAAAGAAATATGGTAATATCACCTCAAACTCAAAGGATGATATGCAATCTTAGTTCTTCTGTTAGAATAAATTTGCAGAACTAAGATAGTCACATATGCTAGTTATTTTAGCATCTTAGATGTAATATCTATTAGAATTTTAAAAGATGCACTTTTTATACATTCCTACTAATTTTAGGAGCATATACTTACTACAGTTGATAGTGAATATTATTCATTAGCAGTGAAAATGTATACAACACATTTACACGTGTAAACATGTAAATAAATGTTACATTGAATGGAGTGTGTATAGTTCATTTCTGCACTCGGTAGTAATTGTTCTTGTCTTGGTCCATATATTTCTTAATTTCACATAGTTGACCTTAGAACTAAATGGATAGATAGGTAATCTTTTATTTGATTTTAAAATCCCTTAGTAGTATTTGTCTGGGAAAACCTTAATTAAATAGGCAGCAGAATTCTTTGCAATGCACATAAAACCCAGTATCCTTGGCCTTCTGTCTTTATGCTCCAACCCTGTCTGGCAAGCATAACAATATGTGTGGACAGGTTTTTGTAAATGACCAAGAACCCCATCTCCTGATATTTTATCCTGGCTAGGTCCCAGATGGTTCTGAAGTAGAGTTCAGGATCGAGCTGTGAGAAACAGTGACCAAGTCTGCTTCCCTCTAATGAAAGTTCTCTCAGGCCATTTTGCTGGCATATGCTGTTGTTCCTTTTGTGCCTTATAAAATTCCATTAAGTTTTAAGGAGTAGTTCAAATGTCACCCCTTCTGTGACTCTTTCCAGTACTATTTTTCCCACTAAGGAAAAGTAATTTCTCCCTCCCTATGTGCTCTTATAACCTCAATTATTTAAGTAACTCTCCCTACTTGACACATTGCAAGTATTTAAGATTAAGCATGTTGTCTTAATAATAATGATGGCTGACATTTATTAAACATTGATTATATTCAGACACTGCTAAAACCTTTCCTCTACTTTCTCGTTCTAATTCTTATACAACTCTATGAGACAGATACTATGATTAATTCCATTTTAAAAGATAAACAGGCATTTTAGGGGGTGTTAACATTTCCCCTGTTGTCCTTTAAAAGACACTGTTGACAGCACCAGATTAAGTTGGACACATGGCTGCCCTTCTAAACACCACATTTCCCAGATTCTGTTGCAGTGGGCCCTGCCCACATAACTGGATTTGGACAAACAGAATGTGAGGAACTGGTCTGTTTCATTTCTAAGTCTTGGCCTTGTAACACTGTCTGTGGGACCTTAATGGAGATACAATAATGATCTAGCTTCAACCAAGCAGTTGAAGAAAATATGTTCAGGAAAAGCACCATACAAAATTGGCCAAAATGGGTTTCTGGTAGATTTTATGAAGCATTATCCCAGCTGCTCATGTCTCAGGGTTATTATTAGAGAAGGAAGTAAGTGGTTACTTGACTTAAGGTGCCATGCTCTAGAATATCTTTGTGACAGATGCATGGTCTTTGGCCTAATGTAGGAAACTAGGGACACTCACATTAATAAGTAAGATGAGGATTAAAACCCACCCCATCTCAATTTGGAATTTATACCTGTTCATCATCATATTCCCAATCTCTCACACACTGCCCGGTACCTGAAAGTTCAATACGTATATGATGAATTGAATAGAATCTTTCTCCTGGGTAATAGCTTTATACCCTACCTCTACCAATATTTCACCTGAGCTGCTGACAAGTACAAAATTGATTGATTTGAGATTTATCTCTTCTCCAGTCTAGCCTATGCAGCTGATTTTCTGATTAACAGTGAAATGCTTCATTGCTGACAGGACATCCTCTAAAAAGATTAAGAGGAAAAATCTAATTAATATCCCTTCAGGCTACTTTAACTACAATTCACTTTTAGTTCACAGTAGAAAACTATAAGAAGCTGGTGATAAAAACGTTAAAGATTATAACAGCCCACACAAAGCCTGCCCCAAATTAGAAGCCACCTATTCTATTCAATAGAATCATTTTGAGTATGAAGCAAATTCCCAAAGAGTGGAGAATTTAAAAAAATATTGAATTTTTGTGTATTTCATACAGAACATCTTAATCAACTTTATACCT